CATTATACAAATTTTTACTACACAATTTCTGCAGCATTTCAGAATAATCCGAGTTGAGCATCAGCAACATATCATCAAGAAAACAACAAGGCTGCAATATTGCGGTAATAATTACGTATGTAGCTCGAACAAACCCTTCCCCAAAACAAAAATGATTACAAACGGTTTTTTCCAGTTTTTAAATAACTTTTTGTGTATTTTAAAGAAAGTTTTGTTTTTTTGCAAATTTTACAATACATATTCATAATTATATATAAACTGCAATGTGTTTTTTTTTGTGAGTGTAACTTGAAATTTTTGTTTCGAAATTGCGTTATTTATTTTTCATAATATGTATGCATGTTTTACTCTAGGCGCTAACATAAATCACTGAAGTTAATTGAAATCCAGCTAAATGGAAGCTGGAATTGAGGAAATAGTTTTTTTTTAAATTCTTGCAATTGTTTTACTAAAAACACTTCGTATTTCAAAAGCACTTAGTGCATTATACTTGTACATACATACATTGAAATGAATGAGTCCTTTATATGCACATAAAAGTATGTATTTACACATATGTACATAATTCTACTAAGTAGCAGTATCTTGCACCTCGATTCATTTGCATCATTCGACATTAAAAAACAAACGCGCGTGATTATCATTTTCTACTGGGATAATCAATGATATATGTATAAGTGTTGCTTTCCATTTTTTCACAAAATTTTAAAAAAGAAATATGTATTTCTATGTATTAGAATGCAAATTTCAAAAAACGCGCATATGAATGCATTTAAATACCTTCATTGAGTATGGATGTGCATACATAAGTGTGTTCGAATTTAGCTCGTGTGATAGTTTACTTAAATTTTACTTCTCTAATTTTCACGGAATAGTACTATGTAGTTACAAGCTACTTCATACATACATATATGTAATTATAATTTTGTTATAATTAAATTTCTTTACAAATACCATTTTTTGTTTAGAGAAGCGAGAGTGTATTAAAGAGAAAGCAATGTGTGAAATAATTCCTTAAAGCTGTCGCAAATACTATTAAGAAATAAGAATTAGGGCCTGTTCGAGCCGCGCAATAAAAGCGGCATTACTGTCGCACTCATGAACATTTGCAACACTGTTGCAACTGCCCAAATGACAAAACGTTGTTAGAAATTCACATCGAACGTGATACTTTAATAATTTGCGCAACACTGCCGCTGTGATTGCAACTCGAACAAAGTCTTAGATATTTTAGTTATGAGAATACAACAAAATGGAAAATTTTCGTTCTTCGCAATTGGCGTTGGTCGCAGATATGACCTTGTTACAAGATTGTTTTCAATGTTTTAGAAAGTCGTCAATGAGACTTTCATTCAACAACAGTAGCCATATGCATTCTTAAAATTCGCCTTAATTTTTTTACTTAGAAGTCTGATATTTTAAGCACACTGTTTCCTTATGTTTTCATAACTTCCTTGAATTTAATTTGGCATATACATATGTACATGCATTTTAAATTGTCTATACATGCTTTAGCCAATATTAGTTTGCAAAGATCATTTGAAAACCGATTTCGAAAATTCGAAGATTATGTTCGAAAATTCTAAATTATGAAAACAAGTTTTATTCTGAACAGGGAAAAATTCCAAAACTAGTTTCGACTTTTCGACATAGTTTTCAAAAATTCGAAGTTCTTAAAATTGCAATTAATTCGTTGGAAACGTGTTTTCTTTATTTTTTTATGCAGACAATCAAGAACAATGAATTAAAAAACTTCAAAATTAATTTCCTTAAAGCCACCTTACTTTTTTCTGCAATATGTTACCTTTTTGGCCTCGTTTGACGTTAAGGAACACCACGCGACAAATATTCTGATATTTTAAAGTTTTGCTACTCTCAGCAAACACAGTCTCTAACGTTAGAGAAACATTTTGTTTTACATTAGAATTCTAATGTAGTTCTCGAATGTTTCTCGAAGGTTAGAGAACTATGTTAAAATCCAATTAGAGAATGATTAGAAAATCACTAGAATTAGAAACCAATTAGAATTCGTCGTCAGAATACGACTTGATATCTAACCTTTTTCTCGGTATCTTAAACTAAGTCCCCTTTTTGTAGAGAATGCTTTAGTTCTCGACAGTTTATTTGATCGTCTTCTAACCTTCTACCTTAGAGAAACACATTAGAATTCGAATCGGTTTCTAATTGTTCTCTAACCTAAATGTTTGTTGAGATGGGAAGGTTTTTTTTTTGAAACATCATTGCAGTTGTTTGCATAATCAATTAAATATAATTATATCCGTAGATATACAAATATACATATGCATGTATTTTTAAGTCAGCATTACACCACATGTTTTATTTATGTACTTCAAAATGCATAATTAAATTATTTAAGTATATGCATATAGCAATTAAGTACAAATAGTCTTGACATTCTTCTTCGATTTACATCAATTTATCATTTATCTAAACAAACTATTCTTTTTTATGTATTATTAATGCGTAGAAATAATAATCGTCATAATAATAAATCGCTTAAGATAATACGTAATTAGACGCAAAGACAGATAGCTGTTGCTTGAGACTGTTTTTTGAATTCATAATTCTTTTGCTTTTTAACTGTCGACAGACTAAGACTGTAGTACTGAGACTGGCTGTCTAAAGCACACATTTGATAAATTTTTTTTTGCATTTTTTTTTTATACATGCAGGTATGTATGTATGTATATATTTAAATATTTTGTTTTTGTGTTTTTCGTTTTGTTTTTATTTTGCATGTAGGTACAATGGGAAATGTACATAAATTTTGTTTGCTGTTACTTTTTGTCTTATTCGGTTTTATTGTTGTTGCTGTTCACATTGTCGTCGTCCAAGTCCAAGTCCTAGTCCTTTTCGTTCCAGTCTATGCGGCTTGGCAACAGAGGAGCAGTACTAGGGTAGGCAAAAGCGTGGGTTGATACTGACTGCTTGAGTGGAAAATACCGTGGTTTGTTTTCGTTTTTTTTTTTTTCGGAAATACAGTTATCAATACCGTTAATGGATGTTTGCCGGATTCACACTATAAATGTAAAATATGAAAATTTGTTGCATAAATTAAATTCAATTCGAAAAAATTACTTATTAATTTCCGTAGCACATGCTGGGGCCTACTTTAGAGGCGTTTCAACCAATGCCAGTGAGCGTGTCGCAGCTAGCTTTTCACAAATTTCCATTCACTCAGCGTTGCTGCGTGACGAAGTAGACGCTGTAAACTGTCTGAAAAGAATTTGTCCAATTAAAGCCAATTACATATGTGCGCACCCGGCAGTTGAATGCAAAAAAATCGCTCTGCATAGAAATATACAACATATACAATAAGAGACGGAAAATGATCTTTGTCAAGTTTCGCAGTACGTCAGATGTCATATTTTTAGGCAGCCATATCCTTCATAAACCGAATTTTGAATAAACAAAGATTGACGTAGAATCCAGCCACAGTATGTGGGCGTCGTCTCGCAGGTGCTAGCTAGTTGCGGTGCTTCTGAAAAGATATACGTGCTACTTTTTTTTTAGAAAAAATACAAACGTATAACGCCTTAGATTTTTATTTTTAGGCAAAGTGTTTAAAATATTTAGGCGATTCCCTGAAACTTGAAAAGTGGAAAACTCGTATTTTTATTAAAACTTTGACAACTCGAGAAATACGAACTAATAGTACGATTTTCCCAATCGTGGAAATATTTAAATTTAAGTTTTGAGATAGATTATAAAAAAAATCTAAAACTATTTTTTTCGAAAATATGACTTTCAAATTAAAAAAATAAATAAATTTAAAAAACTAAAATTTTTCTGGATAAGGAAATTTAAAAAAATATATATATAAAATTTTCAAGATTTTTTGTAAAGAAATTTTTAACTGTCCACATAATAATTGGAACATTTAAAATAAAGAATTTTCTAAAATAATTTTTTTAATTCATGAATTACGCATGTTAAATGCTTTGAGTGCAAATAAGAAATATAACTGAAACAAACCAAAAATGACAAGAGATGACAGAAATTCCTTCCAAAACACATCAAAATAATTCTGGGGCTTTCTCAAACGCGGCAAATGAAAAACTTGAAATTCAAAAGCACATTTGACTCAAATCTTGAAAATCTAGTGACATTTTCAATTGAATTTAAAGTCATGTGCCGATTATAAGTTCACTCAACGCTGTAAAAAAACAACGGACATTGGAAGTTTTGCAAGTTTCCCCCGCCTTTCTGATTCTAGTTTAAGTGAATATCCTTTTTAAAGGAAATATATTCAGTCAAACCACGCATTTACAGTCACAAATAGGATATCGTAATGCATCCAATCTTTCATGTGCATGTCCAGTTTGTTATTGCTGTTGCATGTTTGCGTCCTTAACAGTTCGTTGTATGTTTTTAAATATTTGCGTGACTCTTATAAAACATAAAAAGCTAGGGCTAACATATTTCATTTTGATAAAATCTTTACATTCACTCTAGATGCTACCACCACATTCCTTCTGTTTACCGCAATGCAAGTTTTCTTTTTTCCATTTTAATTAAAAATTATTAAAAGAATATAAAATTTGCATGCAATTCCAATGCTTTGCCTTTGAACAAGCACCTCAGCGCTCAAGTCATAGCCACTCAATAAATTGCCAGCTTCGTTTGCCCTTGACGACTCATATACATTCCACCCAATTTTACCCTTCAGCAGTCTTCAACCTTGCACAACCTTCCTGCCACGCATCCCCCTTCTCCCACCACCTCATCAACACATGCACACATAGTTGCACACTAAACACTTTCAATTTTTTTTTTTTTGTTTTTACATGTTTTATTAAATTTTTCATAAATTTCCTGCTAGCTGCTCTTTTTCTTAAACGCTTAACTTGCATTTCATTGCTTTAACTGCATTCTAAGTACATATTCATTTCTTGATGTAGACCGATTTTACGTATGCTTAGGCGGCGTTTGAGTTAGCAATATTTAAGTTTTTTTTTGGCTTGAATGCAATTAAATTTTTTTTCTTGCTTTTGTTGTCTATTGTGTTTGTATCTTGCATTCCTGCTCGCATCATTGTTGCTTTCTAACGCCACTTAAGCTTCGCTACACAAATACATACATGGAAGTATTTGTATTCTGCTCTGTGCCTATTCAATCAATTCTTTTGCCTTTTCTTTTCATTTGTTCTTAATTTTGTTTTATTTAACTTTAAATACAATTTAATAAGACTTGTTTGTTATATTTTCTTTTCTTTTTGTTGCTGAATGTTTGCTTGTTGTTTGTTGGTTGAATGTTTTGAGTGGTTGTTGTGTTTGGTTTTGGTTTCGTTTGCCTGTCAATTGTTGCGATTGATTGATCGATTTTACATTACTAATCCATAGCTAATAGATTCTCATTTTTTTGCTTTTGCTTTTTTGTTTTTTGTAATTTATATATAATGTACGTATGTGTTTATTAACTGTTGCTTCTCTTTGCATTTGCATTTGCATATTTTTTAATTTTTTTTCTGCATTTGATTTTCTTTTCTTGCTTTGCTTGTGTGTCTTTAATGGAATATATGTATGTTTATTTATAACCTCTTAGCTTTTTTATACCACTGAATGTTTTTTATTTTTCTGTTTTTCTTTTGTTTTGCATTACTTTAATTTTTTCGCATGCTTTTCAATTTCTCAATGCATTTGTGTTGCGTGTTTGTTGGTTGTGATGTTATGATTTCCATCATTTGACTAAAATGCTTTATAATTGTGTTATTTAATGTATCATTCTTGTGGAGTAATCATCAGCAAACAGTTTTTTTTTGTTTTGTTTTGTTTTAATATTTCTTCTAAACACAATTTCTTCAATTAGAGTACACGATTGCGGCATCACCTCTGGCGCGCTCCAAGGAGGACCATTTGTTACAAATGGACCTTGCGCCTAACGCACGCAATAAATACATATATAGTATTGTATATATCTACTAGCTGTTGTTGTTGTTGATGTTTAGTGCTCATATAGGAAATGTAAAGCTGTTCTTATTAGTGAAATGTATTTGTATATGGCTTTTTGTATGTGTGTGTGTGTGTGTGTGTGTGAAAGAGTTTTAGAATGGGTGTTGTGTGTAATGTATTGGTGTATGCCTTTATCATCATTATTACATTGAGTTGTAAGTTTTATTTATCTTTATTTTAAATATTAAAGTGTAATTTATTATAATGTATTCTGTTTTTTAAATGTTTATTTATAAATTTAATTCTCTCCTTTTTTCAAGATTTATATATTTTTGCATTTTTTAATGGTTTCCATAGCAACAGCGTCGCGCGATGTTGTGGCGCACAGCTACAGTCTTCGTCAACATCTTAAAAACATAGAAAGGCTTAAAAACAAGTAATTTATCTGCTCACTTCGATGTCATCATAGTCACGAATTCTGCAAAAGACAAAGTGAAATAAACCACAATTAGTTGAGTAAATACAGTTTACAAATTTTTGAGTAACAGCAACATTCAACTTGGTGTATGAGTCAATAAATTTCAATACGTAGACTGTTACCACCTTACAAGCGAACAAAAAAAGTTCGCCATACACCTCTGAGTCTAAAGTATTTTTGCAAAGCCATTTCGAAAAAAATTTGGTCGCCTTTTTACGTTTTTCGGTGATACATTCGGCAATAAAATTTGTTTTTAAGTTGTTGGAACTGGAATAATCGAAATAGTTCCTTAGCAGAAATTTAATGATTTTTGGTGAGCTTTAATTTACCGGTAATAGGGTGGTACGTTCGGGTGATAATAACTGAGATCTGATGGGTAGGTATTCGAACGGGAGCTTTTTCGCCAATGAATTATTTCAACAATAAATATTTTCATTAAGTCCTATTTATCAACAGCATATCGAGTCTATTAGGAATTGCAGTAAATATATTCCGGCAGATTTGGAGTCAGTGAAACTACATGTCTAGGCTAAGGTTCTTTAGGCTTAAGGTTAATTTAGTTATCCATCGTGTTACCACATTGCAGAATTTCAGGAACGATAGCTGCAGAAGAAAACCCTCGACTGCCCGCGATCACCAACCGGCCGGTGACTACTTGTACGCAGTGGTCGAAGCCACAAACTTGCCAAAACGCCGCACTGCGGACAGCGACAGCCCAACAAACATTTAGGTTAAAGCTTAAACAGATGGCAGCGTTGATCCGGATTACTCGGACTTAATCCGGATCAAGTGCAGTTAATTCCCGAGTTGATCCGGATCAACGCTGCCGTCTGTTTATGCTTTTAGAGAACGATTAAAAAATGATTCGAATTTTAATGTGTTTATCTAAGGTAAAAGATAAAAAGACGATTAGAGAAACTGTCGATAATTATAGCATGGATAATTCTCTCGATATCTAGTGTTTCTCTAATTATATTCTAATCGAATTCTAACATATCTCTCTAATTTGATTTTCCCTTCATGAAATACATTAGAATCGTAAAGTAAAATCAAAATGTTTATCTAACATTAGAGATTGTGATTGCTGGGAGGATGCCTTCTGATGTCGCCTGAACATCACTTGCACAGCGAGGCCCCAATGCTCCCAGTAATGGACAGTTCTAGAAAGGTACTACAGACGCGAGCACCCGAACAGACACTTAAATCAAACAACCACTGAGAGACATTATTCATAGAGAGTTCCGTCACAACCTTCAGTGACTCTCGACCCATGAAGACGAAGAGTATAGAGGTCAAAGGAAACTGCTGTGGATAAATTTTTTGTTTTGGTCGGAAAACAATATTTCACCTAAAAATTAATGAACATATTAGGCCAACTTTAAAGTCTTAAAACAATGACGTAGAAAAATTTCTCTGCATTTGACTATATTATTTATACATATGTACATTTAATCACTTTCAAAACAGTAAAGTATGACTAACTTTTCCCGAATGACATCAATATGTTATTGTTCAACCACTCATCAACATATGTATACACGTAGTTGCCATTCACATAAATATCGCTCTGTGTTGATCAGCTTTATAATAATTTAATTATAAGCTTAACATCAACTCTCCCCCACCGATTGCCTTTTTTACAATCACATGCGAATTGCGCAATTTTTCGCAAATTATATTTAAAGTTTGACGCCCGCGCAAAAAACGTTTAGAAAGAAAAATGTGTGTTTGCGTAAAAGGTAGTGATGTGTGAAAATGAATCCAAGCCCCACCTACACTTAACTAAGCTAGCCATAGTTGGTAGCAAGCAAAATCATTCAATATAAACAATAAATATTTACATATATAAGAAACTAACACTTTATGTGAGTAACAACAATGGATGGGAAATCAATGGCGCAGCGAAAAAATTATGACGACTTTTATTTTAAAGCGAAAGTAGCAAAAAAGCTATGGGCCAGCAAGGAAATAGCGATAAAGCTTACTAATAAAAAAAAAGCTGATGTTGATTCAGTTACGAATACAGAAAATAGGTAATAGGATTATAAAAATATGTAAATACGTATGTATATACTAACTATTACTGGCTCAGATGGACGTACAAGAAATTTTTATGTTCGAAAAAATAACATCGAATAGTAAAGGCAGAAAAAATCGCTTTGAAAACTTGTACTTGAGCCGATTTGAAATTCGAATTTTATTTT